GGGGGCAGAGTCGCGGCGGGCGAGGCACCAGTGAAGGCAAATCCACAAAAGGCCACGGCATGCTGAGCTCTGCCACGGGGGGGCGTGCAGCAACGGTTGAACCAGGCGCCCCGGGCCAGCGGGGCGGGAGGCCACGGGAGGACACAGGACTCAACGGGAAACCACTTCAGCCATAGGGCACCCCGCAACGACGGCCGACTCCCGCATCCAGGCGGTTGTTCACAGGCGCCCACAAGCGCTAGAGCGCGCGGGTGCTCTCAGGCGCGCAAGTGCGCTTAGAAGCGCTGCCGGGCAGGCGCTCGCAGGCGCGGAGGCGCCGAGTGGCATCGCCAGGCGGCTACTAGCGATCGTACGCGCATGGTGGAACGACCGAAGGCACTGCCCGGCGCCCGCAGGCGGACGCAATAGCCTGCAACGCGGGCGGTCACGGTCATCGCCGCCCGCTGTCCTCGTGGCCCTTATGCGCACATGGGGCCCGAGAGCGGCGTGCAACAGAGCCGAACTCGCGAAAATCCGCGACGAATCCGGAAAATCCGCAAGAATCCGGCACAAATCCATGTTAGAAACGCAGCTGATTCTGCGAGAATCCGCGAGGGTCCGCGAAAATCCGCCCAGAACTCTTGTCGGAAACCCAGCAGGATCCATGCGAATCTGTGCGAGACGAAGAGAATCAGCCGGCGAGTTCTCGGGCCATCGGGGACACCTCATGGGACCTCCGAAGACGACCAAAAAAACACCGTAGACACATCAGGGGGGAGGGCTCCAGGGCCTCTGAACAGCGCCGTCGCTGTCGCCGTCGCCGTCGCCGCCGTCGGGGGCCTCCGGAGGGTCTTCGGGGAACTTTCATGGACCCTCCATGGGCGTCCGAAATCTTTGTTCCCAACCATCCTGTGGTGCTGGGTCCTCGTTTCGAAGAGACGGCCCCCCGCATTCATCTCCCCTCCTCCTCCTCCTCCCTCCCCCCCCTCCCGTCACCCCCCTCACTTTGGCAAAACCCTCACACGTTTCGTGGCCCCATAGGGAGCTCCACCGACGGCGCCAGTGGGGGTGCCCGCATGCGCCCCCCACACCCAATACAGCGCTTCGTGACCCCATAAGGAGCTCCACCGAAAGCCCCACTGGGGGTGCCCACCCAATACAACGTTTCGTGGCCCCATACAGAGTTCCACCGAAGGCCCCACCATGGGGGTGCCCGCATGCGTCCCCCCACCCAGTAGAGCGCTTCGTGTCCCCATAGGGGAGCTCCACCGAAGACCCCACAATTGGGGTGCCCGCATACGTCCACCCCGCCCAGTACAGCGCTTCGTGGTCCCATAGGGAGCTCCACCGAAGGCCCCACTGGGGAGGGCCCGCGTGTGTACCCCACACCCAGTGCAACGCTTCGTGGCCCCATAGGGAGCTCCACCGAAGGCCCCAATCGGGGTGTCTGCATGCGCTCGCCCCCCCCCCCCCCTTCCAATACAGCGTTTCGTGGCCCCGTAGGCAGCTCACTGGAGGTCCCGCGTGCGTCTCCCCCACTCAGCACAGCGCTTCGTAGCCCCATGGGGAGCTCCACAAAAGGCCCCAATGGGGGTGTCCGCGTGCGTTCTCCCCCCACCCAATACTGCGTTTCGTGGCCCCGTAGGGAGCTCCACCGACGGCCCCACTGCTACCGCCAGGAGGCGCCCCCCATTACCCAGTGCAGCGTTTCGTGGCGTTCCGACGATACCGCCCGCATGCGCCCCCCCATCCAATACAGCGCCTCGTGGCCCCATAGGGAACTCCACCGACGGCCCCAGTGCGACAGCCCGCATGCGTCTCCCCCACCCAGCACAGCGCTTCGTGGCCCCATAGGGAGTTCCACCGACGGCCCCGGCGGCACCGCCCGCATGCGCCCCCCCCCCCGACCACTGCATCGTTTCGTGGCCTCGTAGGGAGTTCCACCGAAGGTCCCCCGCGCTACCGCCCGCATGCGTCCCCCCCCCTTCCTCACAGCACAGCGTTTCGTGGCCCCGTAGGGCGCTCGACCGACAGCCCCAGTGCTACAGCCCGCATGCGCCCCCCCCCCGCCTTGTGCGGCGCTTCGTGGCCCCATACGGAAACCCCACCGACGGCCCCACCGCTACCGACCGCAAGCGCCCCCCCCCCCCAACCCAGCGCAGCGCTTCGCAACCCCCTAGGAAGCTCCGCCGAAGAAGATATTCACAATGGCGGTATATTCACAACTGCATATGGTTGGGTCCTTCGTCCGGAATTGTTATGAACAAAAAACGAAAAAGGAAACCGAAGGGGACCTCGGAAGGCTTCTGATCGTCGCCTACGCCGTCGCCGTCGCCGTCGCCGACGTCATCGTCGTCATCGTCGTCGTCGTTGTCGTAATCGTCGTCGTCGTCGTCGTCGTCGTCGTCGTCGTCGTGGTCGTCGTCGTGGTCGTCGTCGCGGTCGTCGTCGTCGTCGTCGTCGTCGTCGTCGTCGTCGTCGTCGTCGTCGTCGTCGTCGTCGTCGTCGTCGTCGTCGTCGTCGTCGTCGTCGTTGTCGTCGCGGGCGCAATCGTGGAGGGAACGCGCAAACCCCTCTCCGAGAGGGCATCCTCGCCGACGTCGGGCGCGTTCGGATGCATGCCTGCTCGCCCCATGAGCGCGCAGCTATACATAATGATGATGATGATGATAGCGGTGGTGGTGACGATGGTGACGATGCTGACGGTGATGATGATGATGATGATGATGGTGATGGTGCTGATGATGATGATGATGATGATGGTGATGATGGCGCCCGAATGGTTCGATGCCACGTCCGATGTAGGCGAGCTAGTACATGCAAGGCATGCGCACTCTCGTCCGAGGCACGCCATGACGACCGAAACGAGCGAGGAAGCAAAACAACTCAGCTTCAATGCCTGGTTGTTGGGCCTCGCGCCGAAGGCACGCCTGCGGGCCTACGCTTCCGAAACCTACATTTTGAGGGCCTGACCCCCCGTGCATCTCTGGCCGTCGTGCGCAGTAGTATCGGTGCACTGGGTGATGGTCACGTAAACGCCCAGGAAGGCGTCTACAATGCTTTGGTGCTCGGGGTCACCTCCGCTTCCACGTAGATGTTGGTGTCGGTAGCGGCGGCGTAGATCATATTGATCGTCAGCACGCGGATGGCGGAGGCGAGCAGAGCTGCCGCAGGTGCGACAGCTCCGCTACCAAGTCGAAGCGGGGTTCGCCATCTCATACTGGAAGTATGGAAAGTCATGTGGGAGGCTACGGGGTACGATGGCGGTGATGGCAGCACGGGGGAGAGAATGGCCTCTTCTCCTCCCGCGCCGCCGCGGATCATGCGTCGCGGAGGCGACACCAGCAAATGGGGCTGCCCCGCCTTGGGCCAAGGCGGCGGCGGGTAAAGCAAACTATGCGTTCGCGTCCGCTCCCCTTCGGACAGTTCCTTCGAACTCTGACATGCTCTCATATGTTCGCCACCGTGCCCTGCGGCCTGAAGTGGAGTGTCGTCAGGTCTCTTGGGGCCCCCCGTATCCTGAATGAGTGGAGATTACGTGGCCCGGACCCCAAATAGTCAGATTTCGCGGAGCACGTCGCGTGACTCGCGGGGTTTCCCACGTGCTGTTGCGTGGGTAAGAGACCCCAAAACAGGCCAAGAGGGCCCCAAGAGGCCCCCAAGACGCCCAAGATGGCTCCCAGATGGCCCAAGACGCCTCCAAGACGCCTCCAAGACGCCCCAAGAGGGCTCCAAGAGGCCCTTAGGAAGGCCCCAAGAGGCGAAAATCATTGAGTCCCCACTGGTGTCTGATTACTTTACGCGTTCTCATCCGATCGGGCTTTCGACGACCCAGGACGGCCCACAAGGCCCCCAAGATCGCCCCAAGACTGCCCAAGAGGGCCCCCCCAGACGGACGGCCCAAGAGGAGAGGTCCACGAGAGGAACCAGAGAGGGAACACGAATCGGCATTTAGAGCTCTCTGCCTCAGGACGACTTCTGAGACAGCCAGCGGGCCCCTAAGAAGCCCACAGAGGTTCCAAAGGCCCCCAGGAAACCCATATCAGGCCGCGGAGGCCCCCAAAAGGCCCCTGATAGGCCCAAAACAGCCTCCAAGAGGCTTCCGAGCGCCCTCCCAGGAGATCCCAGGCATCCACGAGGCCTCTGACAAACAACCAACGCACGGTGGCGAAATGGGCCGAACACCGCTAGATGTTCAAGACGATTCTCTTCTCTTCTTAGCGCTTCTCTACCGTGCTTACGTACACTCCATTGTAATCCTGCTCATGCTCCGGTTGTATGCATACACCTACCGCCATCTAGCCGGCCGAAAGGGATCACTCCTGGACCTCCCATCCTGCGGTAAGAAAGTCAACGTACACATCTCTCAACATGGACCTTTCGTCATCGAGTTGCGCAGGACTCTTGACCGCATTTGCCTACAGCTCCTCAGTTTGAGCGTGTATTTGGATATACTATGGCCCGTCGTATCTTGCCTTACTGATCAGCACCACGCCAGGCTCCACCTTGCTCCCGAAAAGACGAGAAGACGACTGCCAGGTACTCATGTGAGTGCTGGTCGGTCGAGTGATGGCGATGCTGCTGCTGGCCGCAAGCATCTCAGTCTACGGGGGGGGGGGGGCACCATCCGCAGCATGCTGCCACTTGTGCTGGTAGGGCAGCGGACGCTCCTAAGGCGCCAGACACGACAGCACTGGCGAGTGCCCGCTGCATGCTGTGACCGCGCCTGCATTGATGGCCAGCGATGGCTCGCCTACTACTGTAGACGCATACGACAAGACGACTTGCGATAAGAAGCCAGGGGACACATTCTTCGTCGATGCTTGGGTGCTAAGGTGCGCCAGTTTCTGTGAGTCCCTAGGGCCACATGCTGGGAAGCCGATTGCACATTGAGTGGGTCACCTGCTGGCAAGCCGGTTTCTCATTTTGTGCACCTGCGGTGCAACGCAGGTATGCGGGGGAGGGCATGGCGGCAAACAAACATCGAGGAAGCCTGCTCTGAACGCCCACATTGGCCGGACCTGTCCGCTGCACGGGCGGAGGGCGGGACGGCGTCTGCGAACTCGAAGCCGGGGAACTTGCGCCTATGAGCGCCCCTCTCTTCGTCGCCTCTACTGCCCTCGCAACTGCCGTGCCCTCCCTCACCCTCCCCGCCTCCTCTGCGATGAAAGACACAATACCCCTCCAGACGTGGGCACGGATGGAAGAGACGTAGAGGAGCAAACACAACATGATGATACTAGAAATAATGGCAGCGCGCGGAACCCAGCCAATCCCGATGTGCAAACACCAACCACATGGCACCAACCATCGGGCGCCACCCAGATGGCACCACCTCTAGGGGACCAGACACAGGACGCTAACCATAGGGCGCTAATCATGGAACACCCACTTTAGATACCAACCACAGGGCACCACCCATGGGCCACACTGACAGTGTACAGATCACATGGCGCCGACCAGAATGCACCAACCACTGGGCACAAGGTCACCAAGCATAGAGCTCTAACCACAGGGGGTACCATAGGGCACCAATCATGGGGGGGCGTGCGGCAGCGGGCGCCGGCCATGGGGGGCCCCATCGGGCGCCATCCCGCCCACGGCCGACGATGCGCCACGAGTGCAAGCGCTGGTTGGTGAACCAGCCATGGGGCGCCAACCAGACATGGCCGGCCACATAGCACCAACCATGAGGCACCGACCACCGAACACCAACCACAAGGCCCCATAAGACACCCACCGCAGGAAGCCCACCAACCGTGCGGCACCGAAGCGCAAGCGGTCGACCGCTACCGCTGGGGCGCCGAACACGCGATCATCGGCTGCATGACGACCACGACGATGACGACGACGACGAATTGGCGACGACGACCGAGGGGACCTTCATACAGAACCGACGCACGAACGATCCAACGCGATACACAAGGCACCAATGTCTAGTGCCTGGTTGCACAGAACCGCGAGCGGCCGACAGCGACACAAAGGGTCAGTTCCGTTGGAGAGAGACATCACGCAACTTCTTAGTGCAAGAACTGTCTGGGGAAAGACACGCTTGGACACAAGAACGGGCCGTCAACCTGGTGAACCTTAGTGTTCGCGTATGTGCTGTGTGTAAGTGTTGAGACGCGCGGCAAGCCGAGGGAACACTTCCCTATCAAGTCAGCGAGCTTGGGGGCACTTCACTGCAGGCCCCACGGGACAAAGGATGAATGCACCGCAACGTGAATCATGCGCAACGAGCCTACCATCGCGTGCCCTACATGAAATGGGGTCGCGTGAGCATCACCCCCCCACTACGATCCACATCGCCTGAATTGCACTGCCAATGCTGCGCAAGACCTCGAGGCTGCTCCTATGGGGAACTACAGCCTGTGAGAAGCCTCCACGGTCTCTGAGATACATTTGGGGCTCTGAAAAGATCGCTCCCCACCAAGCGACAGGGCCCCAAAACTCACAGGATCAAATCCACCGAGAGGACAAGGAAACACGCGCATGCGAATCACCCCATAAGGCCGAGGCCCTTCAGCAAGCATGCCCGATGAAGGGATCGAGTGGGACGGTGCCGTTTAATAAACGCACGGGGCAGCGGTGGTAAGCGCCACCTCCTGCCACGGTGTCGCGTTCCTGTCCAGTCTCGCGCGCGCCTACCTGCCATGCGTGCTACGCTGCCTTGGAGGGTCACGTCAGCAACATCACCAACAACAGCAAAAGAAGAACAACATCAGCAACATCGACAGCACCAGCATCACCATCACCACACCACCACCATCACCACCATCACCCTCATCATCACCCTCATCACCATCATCATCATCATCATCATCACCACCACCATCATCATCATCATGATCATCATCATCATCATCATCATCATCATCGTCATCATCATCATCATCATAATCATCGTCGTCATCATCCTAATCAGCGAAAGCAGCCGCTGCAGCAACAGCCGCATCCCCGTCGTGATCGTCAAAGTCATCGTCAACAACGTCGCCATCGTCATCGATATCTTCATTGTCGTCGTTAATGTCGTCGCGCCGCCACCACCACCACCACCACCACCATCATCATCATCATCATCATCATCATCATCATCAACATCATCATCATTATCATCAACGCCATCATTATCATCATCATCATCATCATCATCATCATGACATCATCGTAATCGTCCTCGTCATCATCACCAAATTCATAACCATCATCGTCATCATCGTCATCAACATCGTCCCCACCATCACCACCACCACCACCATCATCATCATCATCATCATCATCATCATCATCATCATCATGATCGTCATCACGATCATCACCATCACAACCGCCAGCATCGTGACCACCGCCATCGTCATCGTCATTGTCATCATCATCATATTCATCATCGTCATCGTCATCGTCACTAGCATCAGCATCATCAGCATCAGCATCATCAACATCGGCATCAGCAGCATCAGCATCAGCATCAGCATCAGCATCAGCATCAGCATCATCATCATCATCATCATCATCATCATCATCATCATCATCATCCCCATCCTCATCCTCATCCTCATAATCATCCTCACCACCTGCATTACCAACGCTGCAAAGCACCTCTCAGCCGAAAACTAGGAGGAGGAGGAATGGAGAGGAAGGCGCGTGCGCCCGAGCCCGCCCCTGCCGCACAGGGCGAACGGGCGGCGCCCAGGCGTGCTCGGGGCCATGGAGGTCCCGCCACCGCCCGCCGACCCACCGAACCTGCTCGACGAGGCACCCTCTCACACACAGGCTGGGGTACTTCACTTTGGACACGTCCTCAGTGACACGCTCGAAGTAGGCAGACACTGCCACCCAACAGATAGGCACGAAGCTGCCACTTCCAACCACACTGAGTCAGAATGTGCTGACGGGGCCCCAGAACACACAAATAAATACACACAAATAAAAGGATTCACCATATTTCCCCATATTTTCTAGGTTTCTGTCTTCCCCCCCATTTCCCATATTTTCTCATCTTTTCTGGGGAATCGACGATTAATTGCGTCTGTGTGTTTCTTTCCCTCCTGATATGCAGTGATACCCAAAAGCGAGGCACCTCCTGGCAGGCCCCAGCCCAGGCCCCTGCCGAGGCCCACTGGCGCTGCACGGCGCCGGCTGGGCTTCGCGTCCGGGCGGCAGCATCTCGACGAAAGACGTCGTCAGGGCCACGAGCGCGAGGCCGACACGGGCCACGGGAAACGTGCGAGAGAGAGGGGAGTTTGCAGAGCCAACGCGGTTCTCCCAGGGCACCGTGCCAGACAACCAGGGTCAGACAAAGTCGACTCTCCAGAGTCCAGAGGGAGGCCACCGCCCTTGTCCCTGCCGCTCTCTGTGCGCCGGACATCCAAGCCATTGTCTCGAGCGTCGCCGCGATGAGAGAAGACATGCTGCAGGGCTTCCAGGCCATCATCAGCGAGCTCCAACTCCTCCTAACAACACCGACGTGCCAGCAGCAGGACATCAGTAGCTATGACGACGGGGCAGCGACCACATATGCCACTGGCTGCTGCGACCCTACGCATCGCCCGTCCGTCGACTTACCTGCGCAGGACGACCTCGCGAAGGCCGCCGACAGCAGCAGTCGCCAGCTAGCGCGAGTCCCGCGTCACCGGAGGGGAAGCTTGCTGAGTATCGTTTAGCCGATCCCCATCCCCAGCGGCGTGGCCTGGGCCCCACTGGCCGATTTACCCCCCTAGACGGGAATACAGGTCGCTCCCTTCGGGTTTCGAGGGGTGTATCCCCAACTGGGGTGGTAATTTGGTGGGGGTCTCGAAGGGGATGGGGATGGGGACGGGGATTGGTTAAACGATACTGACTTGCGGCGACACCGATGGCGAGAAGGATGCCGATGGAAGCTGCCTGGCCACCCGCCGCCAGCCACCGTGCCTGCAGCAGGAAGTGGCCGCCCCTGCCGCGCGGGCCGGGCCGCGGCCCGTCGCTGGCGCGCCCCTCTTGGGCGCTTCACCCTGGAGTAGTCACGGTTCCACTACTCGCAAAATGACTACTCGCAAGTGGCCTGGATCCGCCGGGGGGGGGGGGGGATCTACGAGAAATCGCATCGAAGCAGAGATGCGTGGTTCGGGCGTTTGCGAGCAGGCACCCTGCGAGCAGTGGAACGCGCTCGGTGACCGAGAAGAAAGACAAGATGGGTATCCCCAATTGGGATCCCCTCGGCGGCCACCCCACCTACGTAGCCCTGAACCCCTCCCACGTCGCCGCGGCTAGATCCGCCATGAAGCCCCGAGCCGCAGGCCGCCGCCGACTGGACCATCTGTGTCGACGGCATCCTTGAGGACTGCGCGGGCACGGCCACCATCATGGACGCATTCTCCCTCATCGATCGGATCAGCAAAGGGTAAATCAACGCAGGGCACATCCTTGTCACCTACGCCTCCAGCGCTGCTGGCAGGAAGACAACGTTCGAACATTAACAACGCATCGCTCTGGGGCGCCACTATGCGGGTCAGGCTTATCAGCGAGGAGAAGTGCTACTGCCACCCGGCTGGGAAGGACAAGGAGAGCGAGGAGAAGAAGGGCAAGATGGAGGAGAACATCGAGTGCGAGGCTACCCAAGAGCTGCGCGGCAAGCAGCAGGAGGAGCTGCGCCCTACTCCGGCAAGCTGTACATGCCAAAGCCCATGGTCGCCGCCGTCGGCGAGAAGCTTTCACGGTCATCATGAGACCCAAGCCCGAGAGATCGTGGCAACCTCGACGACCCCTCCTCCCGCTCTCTTCTGGGGGTGTTCCGTTGGCCTTTTCTGGGCTTGCGGGTCCCTTCCCTTCCTCCTCTCGCCCCGCTCCGTCGTCCCTGCTGCTCCTTCTGGTCCCTCCTCTGCTCAACCTCCCTTCTTGTCCTCCTGCTGCTCCCCCTCGTGCCGTTCCCTTTCTGGTCGGTCTCCTTCTGGGGTCCCGCCCTAGTCATCTGGCGGCCGCAAGCGGCAGTCCTGCGGCGCTGGGGTGTCGAGGGCAACACCTGTCACAGGGATCAAATCAAAAGTCCGCAGCCTGAGCCTGAGAGGAGGAGGAGGAGGAGGAGGAAGAGGAGGAGCAGGATGAGGAGGAGGAGGAGGAGGAGGAGGAGGAGAGGAGGAGGAGGAGGAGGAGGAGGAGGAGGAGGAGGAGCGAACGTAACCAATGAGGTTACGTTCGGGACGACTACCGCGGGCGCGCGGCGGCCTGGCGGCTCACGTCGCCGTCGCAGGTGCGATAGACGGTGTTCCTGGAACAGTCGGGGTCAGAAAGCTCGCATTCGCTGGAGTCGCCCATCAGGTCCGCTTGAGACCAATCTGACTCGGAGAGAGCATCCTCGGAGTATCCGACGCACCTGGCCAGGTCGATCATGTCCTCGATCGTGTCGGCGTTGTGCACGTCTACCGCTCCAAGCAGTTCCAGCATGCCGCTTTTGAGGAGCCACTGCTGGTCGTCAGTCACAACATGCTCGCTGAGCGTCGGCAGGGAGACCATCTCGCTTATCTTGTCGAAGGCGATGCCCTGCGCGGCCTTGGCCTCCTGCGACGGGGGCACCGCGATGGCCTTCATGTAGAAACTGCTGTTCATGTCAAACTTTGTGGTGGAGGCGTACGGGTCGACAATGCGCATCTTCTCAGCGTCGCCCATCTCGGCGGAGAACTCGCTGTGAGACGCCGCACGGCCAAGCCAATCATCACACTCTGCAGCATCTATACTCCAAGAAGGAGGAGGAGGAGGAGGAGGAGGCAGAGGAGGAAGAGGAGGAGGAGGAGGAAGAGGAGGAGGAGGAGGAAGAGGAGGAGGAGGAAGAGGAGGAAAAACGAGGAGGAGCAGGAGGAGGCGCGGGCGAGGGCGGCAAAAGGGGGAGGGAGAGGCGAGCGGAGGGGGCTGCGGTGACGGACAAGCGGCCCGCGCCTCAGGCACTGGACGCCCGGCGCCTCCGTGCTTTCAACGATCGCCTTGTCCCAGACCTGGCCCGCCACACGATCGACCAGGGGGCCTCCTCCTCCTCCTCCTCCACCTCCTCATCCTCTTGCTCCTTTCCTCCCTCCCCTCATTCCTCGTTTGTCCTCCTCCTCCCCCCTCCTCCTCCTACTCATCCTCCTCCATCCTCCATCCCCCATCCCCATCATCCATCCTCCATCATCCTCCGTCCCCCTCCTCCCACCCTCCTCCTACAATAAATTCGCTTTGTGGAGACCGCGCCCTCCTTGCAATCCTCATCATCCGCCACCCCCTTCTGCTGCACTCCTTTACGTCTGCCCGCTCTCCCAGATGCCCCGTCACGGCTACCTTGCACGTCGAAGCGTTGCTCTCGTATTCGATGCCCGTGCATCCAGCGTCCCGCTGGCACAGGTCTGCGCAGTCCTCCAGCGACGACACCTGCCCTCCCACACGGGCTGAATCACACACACGCACACGCACACACACACACACACACACGCACCACACCAGCCCAGCCCAAACAGTGGTCCGACGACTTCGTGCACTGCATCACAGGCCATCCCGCAGGCTCGGCTTGCTTGGCGTTGCTCTGCACATTCCCCCGAAGGTGCGTGGTCATGGACCAGGGCCGATCAACAACTAGTTTGAGGAGGTGTGCCGTCCTGGCGTGGCCCGTGGAAAATGTCCCTTGACAGCCAGTTTCGGTGAGCAAGGGGATCGGAGATGGCTTGTCGATTTCGTTCTCGCTGGCAAGGGGGGGGAAACACGCAACTCAGCAAGGTCATGGTCGAACCGCGAAAGGCCTCACCAAAGAGTAAGCAGCCCATGCGGGCATGCGGTGTGGCTTTTTCCACTCAGCAGACAGCCACCACCGCGATGAAGTGTGTACCAAGATCCTTGGACGCCGCAAAGAGTGCCGCTCAGGATCCACGTGACGCCCCTCGTCGACGATGGACTCGTCCCCTGAATGTGCCCTGACATCTGACCTTTGCACGACAAATCTCCCCAAACCGGATGCGCAGTACGTCCGCAGAGGTACTGACAGCTACAATGAAGTGCGCCCTGCTTCCAGCGCACCCCGAAAAACTTCACGCTCCGAGGGCGCGCTGGCCGTTCGCGCGTCCGCGGCCCTCCCCCTTTCCCTCCCAGCCTTCCTCGCCGCCTTGGCGTCTTTTCGCTCCGCAGAGGCCCTGTCGTAGCCACGACCGCAACTTGAATCCGAGGCGCCGCCGATCACAAATGCGTGCCACCAGAGCTTGCTACCCAGCGGGCGGCAATGCCACGGATTATTTATTTGCTTGCTCATAGCGGTAGACGCGCCTGAGCTTGAACATGCATGTGCGAAGCATTGCGTTGCATAAGTGTGTTAGGAACGCGGCCCACGAGGCGGGGCCCGCTTCCTAGCGTTCTCTGGTCTCGTCAGGCTACACTGTGTCTCAGGCACGGTCGACGCACTTGTGTGAGGCACGTGGTAATCGCCCCCCTGCGGCATGAGAAAGACGCAAAAGACCTCGACGAAGCGGACCATAAGATAGACGGGCTCTTAGAACTATGCCTCGGCGTGATCTGGAAGAGCCCGAAGGGCCTCACCAAGATCCCCCCCAAACAGGCCCCGAAAGAAGACCCCCCCCAATGTAGAAACATATCAGTTTCGTCGGAGCACCAACGATACCGACGTGAACTTCGCAAGCAATCAGGAATTCAGACCGGGGCAGCTCCTTTTTCTGGTGCTGATGGATTGGGCTGGCGCGCCGCTCGCTGAACGTCCGAAGCTGCTGGCGGCATCGCCCTGCCCGGAGCTTTCCACCGGGCGGATGCGACGTGCAGCCCCACAGAGACGGCAACCGCACGCAACCCCGAAGGGCCCCCCCCCCCTCCCCTTAAGTCGGGCCTGTCACCCTACAGGGGGATTTTGGACGAAAAACAAAAAATACCCCAAACAGATTCCAAAGTGGTCAAGCATAGCAAAACCAAAACAAATCGTCCCCAGACTATGTTTTCGACTATTTCGTCCGAGGTAACTAGGGGACAAATAAACCACCCTGGCTTCCAAGAGACACCAAACGATGCCAAGCTACGGCCTGTACTGGTCAGGCCGCTTGACGAGGAGGCACGTGGCATGACTTAGTTTTGCCTGGAAGCGAAAGCGGGGTAGGTAATTCACGCTCTGAATCGTTGCAGCCCCCCTCGCTTCCCCTCCGCCTTCCCCTGATCCTCGTGCTCCTCCCGTTCCTTCCACTCCAGCTCCCATGCTGCTGCTCTTCGTCCTCGCCCTGCTCCTTCTTCCCCTCCTCCTCCTCCTCCTCCTCCTCCTCCTCCTCCTCCTCCTCGGAGTAACCCTCCCCGCAGACCCGCCGCAGGCGCAACCGCCCTGCCGAGCTGCGGCGCTGCCGCGCGGCGCGCCCCCCCGCGCTTCCGGGCGGGCGCTGCCGCGCGGCGGCGCGGCTCGGCAGGGCGCCGGGCTCGGCGCCGCGCGCGGCCTGCAGGAGGGCGGCGCTCGCGGGCGCGCGGCCCCTCGCGGAGAGGGACCAGGGGAACGAACAATGATCAAGGGGCCCTGGGACACACAAATAAATACACACAAAACATAAAGATTCTCCATACTTTTACCATATTTTGGGGGGGGGGTTGTCTTCCCCCCCACTTCCCATATTTTCTCGTAATTCTCTGGGGAATCGACGATTCATTGTGTCTGTGTGTGTGTTTTTTTCCCTCCTGAAATGACAGAAACAGAAAAACTCGGAGGTCCGCGCGGATTTCTGGGATCCCCGCTCGGGCCCCCTGGCGGCGCCTCCGGCGCCGCCCCTGGCGCGCTCCACGCGCCAGGGAGGGGGGTCCAGCGCGGATCCCAGAAATCCGCGCGGACCTCCGAATTTTTATGGTTATGTCATTTTTCGTTCCCCTAGAGACCGCTCGGTGGGCGCAGCAGGACATGCTCGTACGATGTGCTGATACCGGAGGCACACGTCTGACACGAAAGTGCAGCACAAGCAGCTCGCAGTGTGTCGCATCCCGAGCGGTGTGGCCAGGGAGCGCGCGGCACGGAGCTCACACGAAATGCTTTCCCAGCGCGTGCGTCGCCCCCTGTGGTGAAGACGCACGCCTCGTATGTGCATGCTTGGGTAATGCCGATCTCGGGGCCCGTGACGCACGCCGCAGCCACGCTCGGCGTTCGGCACCGACTGGACGCTCGACACTCGCGCCTCGAGATGCACCGCTCAGGGCCCGTGGCACACGCCGCAGTCACGCTCGGCGACAGGCACCGACTTGAAGGAGAGCAGCTTCTGCAGCAGCAGCGGAGGCGGCGAGGCGAGGACGGGATCGGAGGCGGGCGAGATCTTGCCGTCCTTCACCTCAAAGCGGCGGCGACCTGGTTGCCCGAGGACCGAATACTCGACAAAGAAATCCGTCCCGCGCTCGGTTCCGAGCACCTCGACGCTGATCATCCGACGCAGCTGCCACAGCGGCACGCGGTATGGGAAGATGGTGGTGACCGCACCGCCGCGGCCGAGCACCGAGTTCGCATGGCTTTTCATCGCGCAGCCTGTGCGCGCAGCAAAAGCTTGTATCGGCGAGCGCTCCCCCTCCAGTGCAGCGTCGAACTGCGAGAAGGTATGATAGGTCCGTAGCTGCTCGACGTCCGTCGCCTCTACCGTTGCGAGCTCGCGGCAGAAGCGGAAGGGCTGCCACGAAGCCGACCAAAACCAGTGGTTGGTCCTGCCGCCCTCCACGTGCAGGTTGGAGAACATCGCCCAGGTCGCGACCGTCTTGCAAGAAGGAGAAAGAACGTCACAAGCACACGCGCTCGAAGGCCGGTGCGGAATTCTTGGATCGGCACTGGGCCCTCCTCCCTGCCGCGCGGAGCGCGCCGGGGGCTGCGATGGAGGCGCCGCCAGGGGGGTCGGCGCAAGTCCGAGCCAACGCAGATCCACGAAATCCGCGCGGACCGTCGAAGGGTGGTGCCTGTGCTGGTCTCTCTCCTCCAGCTTGTAGCCGAGGTACGGGCCCAGGCCGTTGGCCACGGCCAAAAGCAGCACCGCCGCGCCGCTCAGCGCGAGCGGCAGCGGCGGCGCGACACCGCTCCCGGCCCCCAGCGCACCTGCCAGGCCAGGCGGCGTGGGCGCGGCGCCGTCCACTCGGCGGCTCCAAGATGGGACCCTGAGGGATGGGGCCCTTAGGGCAGGGAGCCCAGGGTTCGCTAGGGACTGGCGTCCCTCCAGACAACGAAAGCCCCTTCCAAGATCCCTGCGAAACCCTCCTAAAAGCCTCCCGGAACTCTTCCCAAGGTTCTCGGAGGTTTTCGGGATCGTTTCGGCAGCTGTTAAAGGAAACCTATCCATGGCGAGCCCTGGACTTTTCAACCCTACAGGTGGGAAGGGATCTCACGTTGAGCTCACATCGTTCGAATCGGGGAACATAACATGAACGTTCCGCAGGTCCGCGCGGATGTCTCGGATCGGCGCTGGAGCCCCACGGCGGCGCCTCTGACGCCGCCCCTGGCGCGCCCCCTGCGCCAGGGAAGGGGGGCCCAGAGCAGATCCAAGAGATCCGCGCGGAACTCCGAAAGTCTTTGCTATGCAGTTCTTTCTTCCTGTAGGATAGGAGAGGAAAAACATACATGGCCGCGTGAAAAGATCACCACGAACGGCTTTTGGCAGTCTTCGGCTTGCAGGATAGGAGAAACATGCATGGCCGCGTGTAAAGATCTCCACGGAGGTCTCTTGGAGCGCGTTTCTTTATGTTCGGCGATGACGGGCGTCATGGGGGGGGAGGGGCGGGGGGGAGGGCGGGGGGGGGGTATGACGTGACGCCCCCCCCCTGCCGTATGGTTCCGGCGCCACAACCGCGCCCGCGCGCACGACGCGACGAGCGACGAGCGACGAGCGACGACGACGACGCGAGCAGCATGTAAGTGGCGATATGCCCATTGCGCCTGTGTGCACCCAACGCTCGCGTGCACAACACTGCGCGTGTGCACCACAGCGCCTGCGTACACCGCAACAGCCGTGTGCAACGCACCGCCCGTGTATACCACAATGCTTGGGATCACTACAGCGCTGGTGTACATACACCGCAGCAGCCATGTGCAACACAACGCCTGTGTACACCACTGTGCTTGCGTGCGCCGCAGCGCCTGTGCACGCCACGGCGCATGTCTACACCACAGCATCAACGTGCAACGCAGCGCTGGTGTACACCACAGTGCCTGCGTGCATAGGACAGGTAGAAGGAGCATGTACGTCAGGATCTGCTGCGGACAACTAGACGCCACGACAAGAAACTTCTGATTATCGAATGCGACGTTTTTCCCTCCTCCCTCCTCCTCCTCCTCCTCCTCCTCATCCTCCTCCTCCTCCTCCTCCTTCTCCTCCTCCTCCTCCTCCTCTTCCTCCTTTTCCTCCGTCTTACCCCTTGTCGTGCGGCTTGGCGTTACAACGCACGTGCGTATCTCAGCGTGCACCGCAGAATGGTCGATTGAATCGGTCCACTTGGTTCTCGGACGGCCAGTTTAACTGGAGCCTCCTGGACGCAAGTGGGAGTTAGGGTGATGCGGGCGGACTCGGGGGGACTCGTAGATTCCAGCGGAGCTCCTTCGTCCATGAGGATTTGTTTTCCATTGTTTTCTCTGGAATCCACACGCGCTCCATTTTGTCACAAGGATTCCTTCTGAAATTCTATACACAACAATGGTGCTGTGTTGCACACGGCTGATGTGGTGCACACACGCGCCGTGGCGTACACGGGCACTGCAATGCACGCAGGCATTGTGGTGTACACTGGTGCTGTGTTGCGCACGGCTGATGTGGTGTACGGGGGCGCTGTGGTGTACACAGGAGCTGCTGTGCCCGCAGGCACGGTGGCACAAACTGACAGTGCGTTGCACGCGGCCGCTGTGGTGTACATCGGCGGTGTGGTGTACACAGGCGCTGTGGTGCACGCGGGCACTGTGATGTACACAGGCGTTGTGGTGCATATCGCCACCTACATGTTCGTGCTACCCGTCCTCCGTCATTCCTAAGCATTCCCAAGACGCCGCCGGCGCGAAACGTGACGTCATCGACCCCCTCCCCCCCCAGATGATTGCCGTCATCGGCCCGGACTTAAAAACAGGCTCCAGCCGCGTCCGCGCGCACGACGACGATGAGCGACGAGCGACGAACCACGAGCGACGACGACGGACGACGACGACGACGACGACGACGACGACGACGACGACGACGACGACGACGCCTGCGGACCAGACACCTATGCGGATTCCTACGCGGACACCTACGCGGATCCCAATGCGCACGGCGGCAGTGCCTGGAACGCACTGGGGGGGGGGAGCGTTACGTCATAGGGGGGGGGGGGGAGCGGGGGCCATGACGCCCGTCATGCCCCAAGCAATGAAAAAACGGGCTCTTGTCGTCTTCGGCCTCCTGGGGCCCGCCCTCGCCGGGCCCCCGGGGATGAGAAAGCCGCCCCGGGGAGGGGGCCGGGACTGCTGGGGGGCCCGTGCTGGCAGAACCGAACCTTCGCACGCCACGGGGGCAGGGACTCCACCTGCCGTCGGCACCGCTTGTGAGGCCCTTCTTACCAGCCTCGAACGTATCCCTATCCCTAAGATTGACACGCCAAAAGGCGATGACAATCTTAGGAATTCGCCCTCAAAAAATAAGGGAATCCCTAAGATTGGCATCGTGATGAGGAGGTGCCCAGCATAGGGATAGGGATATGTTCCAGGCTGGTAACCCTCCTCCTCCGGGACCCCCCCCTCGCCCCTCGGGGCCCCGCCGTTGGACCGCCGGCCCACCCAGAGTGCGGGGCGGAGAGCACACAGCCAGAGCAGCGAGGCCAGGTGCTCCGGCGAGCCCAGCTCGCGGCAGCGCTGCGCCTCGAGCCGCCGGCAGCCGAGCAGTGCCAGCGCCGTGGCGGCCAGCCGGGCGGGCGGGCTGGTGACCCTCCACGCGAGGTGCACCACCTGCGCCGGCGGCGCGCACGCCACGAGGCTTGCGACGGCGATGACCGAGTAGTCATACGCGATGGAGCCCAGCAGCAGGTGGAAGGCCCACGCGGTGCCGAGAGACCAGCGCAGCGGCGCGAGCGGGAGCAGCAGGGGGATGAGGACCTCGACGGCCTCCAGCAGCACGAGGGCAAGGTGCAGAAGCGACAGCACGGCCCCGTCGCCGAGCAGCGCGATGAGGCGGCGCGAAAGCGCGGCGGGCACGAAGCCCTCACCGACAAGCAGTGTGAAGACGGTGCAGCTGCTCTTGCGCACGTTCACGTAATCCGAATTCAGCTTCGCAAGCGCCGCGAAGGCATAGGTGGTACCGAAAATCGTACGGAGCGCTGGAGCGCTCTGCTGCCAGCCGAGCGCCGCGTCGTGCCCGCTGGTCGCCGCCCAGGCAAAGCCGCACCAGAGGTTGAGGTCTGCCAGGAGGCCGTAGGTGCCACTGTTGTCGACCTCGTACGGTAGGCACGCCCATCCCAGCGAAAGCGTCGTCGAAAGCGACGCAAAGAAAGTGAGCGGGCCCGGAAAAGCGATGCACATGAGCGTCGCTACCAGCGCACCCACGCGGAGCGCGCCTGCCGTACGGTCCGATGGCTGCAGCCACACCGAGAGGGGCTGCTCACAACTCACGACGAGCACGGTCAACCGGATGAACCGCATCTGCGCCCAAAGCGCGGCAACGACGCCCAAGGCGAGATCATCCGATGACATGAGGGGCAGAGAGACCACCAGGACGCCTGTTGCAGGTGCACCTGTCACACACGCCCGAGCCAGACGGTGCCAGTGCAGCGCGAGAGGGCAGAGGGTCGAGGCGGCCACAAGGATGTCCAAGAAGGCCTGCCCAGGGAGCAATGCACGACTGAGCAGCGGAACGCCCGCTCGAGGTATCAGGTGCCGGTTGCGCTGCACGTTGGGGATTGGTGGCGGGCCCCCCGAACAAAGCGGCTCGAGCCAACACGGCGTGGAGGCAAGCGCGAGCAAGCAACGCCGAGCAAGGGAGGACACACGGAGGCAGCCGGGCACGCACGATTGCGTAGCTTTGAACTTGAAGTGTGCGACTGTGCTTCGGGCCACGGAGAGGGCACTTGCCAGGGCTGCGTTCGCCATCGTGTGCGGAAAGCTGCCGACGTCGCCGAACCTTGACTCGCGTCGCTGTTTGCTGTGGTGTGCATTGCTGTGCTGCTGATGCTGACAGTATCTCGTGTTCTAATCCTGCGGGGGCCGGGGCGACTACACCTTGAAGCGGCCCAGTGCCACGCACCCGCCAGAATTAGCGGGCGTCGCTCAGCCCCCTCGTGCCTCGTAGAGATGCAGAGAACAAGCCTCGCCCGCCCTCCCGCTCACCTGCCCGCCAAGGAGTAATTCGGGGGAGGGGGGGGAGGAGGGACGAGAAGAAAGACCGGCACAATGCGAATCCATGTCGCGTGAACTGGCCTAGAGTTCCTCCATCCATTTGCCTGGGTGGGTGGGTGTTCTCTCATTGCCCGGGTCCCGGAGGCGCTGCAGGCTGCAGCAGGCTACTGCAGCGCCTCCCTGGAGCCGCTGGAGCCAGCGAGGGGCATGCCGCTCGGCACGCGCGAGTCGGAGAAGCGGATGCGGTCTGGTGCCAAGTCCCACTTAGGACGAAGCCAGGGCGAGGATAATATCGGGTAAGGATGCATCGAGAATCTCTGAGATCCGGCGGATCTAGAGGATGCCTCGGGCGCCGCGGCTTTCTCAGAGCGTTGCGGAACGCTTTGAGAGCGTTCCGGAACGCTGTGAACGGATGTATCCTCGTCCTACAGTCGGGACGTTGAGCTAAGGAACCCTAAAAAAGGAACGAGGCCACTTTTATCCATAAGTTAAACTTCGGCTTACCATCGAAAACCAAAGGAACAAATTAGGCAAGCTGTGAAACAGTTAAGGCACACCGAGCCCCTCCCCAACGAAAAGGGCTCCTTCTTCAGAGCCCCGACTGTAGCCCCGTCCGACCACTGCCACCTTGTTTCGGCGGCGCGCCCAGAAGGCCTTCTCAGGAGGCTCGGGAGGGGGATGGGCCTTCTCAGGAGGCTCGGGAGGTCCCCAGCCTTCCGAAGAGCTTTATGAGCCTTCTCCGAAGACGCCGAGGGCCCCTCAGAAGGCCAGAGGGCTTCCGACGAGCCCCGCCGCCTACCGAGAGGGCTTGCCT